GCTCCATCAGTCTTTAACAGCTGTGATTGAAACAAGAGCATAAAAGCTTAATCAGGAAAACATGTTTAAAAATTAAGACCAAAAATCTCAACACGAAATTTGTTTTTTGGAGTAAGCAAACTAAGTAAACACCTAACAGAGGATAATAGAAATTTAGAGTAGAACTGTATGCTTGCCCTTTTAAATAAAGTATTAAGGATAAGAACTGAGAAACTTAGACATACTTTTGACCATGAATTTGACCATTTCAGTAGAGAGAAATTAAATAAATGCCATTTTGGCATTTAACATTTTATTTCTGAAGCATGCTATCAGTCAAGTAGAAAGAAATTAAAAACCGATGAAGTTTAGTATAGCTTTGTCATAAAAGCAAGTAGCAGGAAGGGAAAATTGCTGCTTATCAAGTAGAGTTAAGAGCATCTAATTCTGTTGAGTACATATCTTATATAAAGATGTACTGTAATTGATGATTGTTACTATCAAGGATGGGCTAATAGGTGAATTCATGCTTTAATTTATAAAGCATAATATACCTTTCTTACTTGAAAGTGTTGTGTTATATCTTCTCAAGGATACCCAAATTTATTGGTTTAGTATAGAAAAATTGCCCTACGTGTTGTAGACAGTTGCTGTTAACTGTCTTTTCTCTAGTAGTTGATGGGGATACGTCTACCTCTTTAGCATGGACCGTAGCACGATTGTCAGAGGTAATACGAGATGATTTGGTTTGAAGCTGGTCAGTGACTGTTTGATCTCTGTGGTAGCAGCCCTGGATGCTCCATTGGGAGGGAAAGAGGAGCTCCTTAACGCAGGAGGAACCAGTTCTCCTCAATACCTGTCTCCCCAACCGTATTTCTCAGCCTGCTCTCGGTCCCTCAGGATCCCTGTGGCAGACTGCACCACCTTCCTCTGTTTCCCATAAATTGCTTCTTGGAACTGCAGAGATGACTTTTTGCAAATATACATGACTCAACCTGTAGATTTTTATGTCAACTCAATCCGTTTATTGATTTTTCTGTGGCTAGATGGGGACAGTGTGAGTGTTTGGTCAGGTTTTTCCATTAGCAGCAAAGAATGCACAAGTCCCTAGACCCAGGAAAGTCACCTTAAAGATATCAGTTGTGTAACACCAACTTTTTTTCCTTTTTGAAGGATATCTAAGCTGTCGTTTTCTCTGAGCATTGATGGAAGTGTTTTCATCTTCAATTATCAGTCAGGCAACAAACTAATTTGTCTGGTAATCAGTTCCAAAAGCAACCAGCGCTTCTATTTCCACCTTCAGCCTTAGTAAAATTGAAAACCACAGCATCTGTCATTTACAAGTTTTTTACATACTAGTCTAGATGTAGACAGAATAAATAAAGGAATCTTTTGAGGTCAGGTTGTGAAGTGCAACAGTGAATAAGGAAACATGGAGCAGACTATAAAACTTAGACCTAACTGTATTTCAAGAGCACCAATGAGGCTGCTAAAAGCGTTTAGCTTTATCTTTTGGCAAAATAGAGGCCTGTATAACCCCAGTGCTTACTACAAGATTTTATTTGGTTTTTCATTTGCTCTTTTACCTTACACAAGTCCCTGTTGTGCACAGTTTTTGGTTTTACTTTTTCTTTTGAAAGTGGCGTGACTAGAACTCTAACAACTAAAACAAAAGTTTTAATGGAAGTTGTGTAAGGTTTTCTGAAAATGTTAGCATTTTTCTAAGGTAAAGTAAGGAAAGACGAGATCAATAACTGGTTTCATAAATTTGGTGTTTTCAAGTAGGTTGAACCTACAGGTGTGTACCTTAGAGGAATTAGATAAAGAAATAATTGAAATTTTATCATTTAAATTTGAAGACTGTTGAAGAATGAATGCAACTCTCCAGGAAACTCTGATGTACTTCTTCAGCTTAATTTTAAAGAGAACTGTATGATTGTTAACCTAACTTAATGCCCAGAAAGATACTGGAACAAAAAACTTATAAAAACTCCAGAGAAGGATGAGTAGCAGGGATTTCTGAGGAGGAATCTGCACCCATGAACCAGTCTGTCGGGGGGAGAGTAAGAAGAATGCACAGCACAGATCTGTGGACACAGCAGATTCACGTAGACCTTGGGCATCAGTTGTGTAACAGAAACTGTCATGTCTTTTTGAAGCATCTCTAGTCCAAGGAGAGTTTAGCAGTAGTTCGGCATCAAACCTAAAAGATGCATTAACTGTAAGGCTTAAAATGTTTCTGTCCAGCGTCTGTTAAATTTCACTGAGTTCATTAACGATTCCAGCATTTTACTGCTGAGTATGTTTCCTGAGGTTTGTGAGAAGTGCTGTTCACTCTGTGGAGGTCAGAATCCATAATGGCCCTTGAACACTGGAGGGGGAAAAAAAAAAAGAAGGTGCTAAAATTCACTAAGGGCAGGTCCATTTGGCCACTGTTAGCTGTGGGGAAAAGAATTCCCCCCCCCCCCCCCGATGTAAACTGGGGTGTGTAATAAGCATGAAAGAGCTTTTCCATTCTACAAAACCGTGATGAGGCTTTTGCTGGATCACTGTGGTGAGGCTTAGGTACTATACTTGAAACAAAGATGTTCACTAATGAAAGAGAATCAGGAGAGAACCATCAAAAATTATTTGGAAATCTAGAAAATGCAAGGGAACAGGACACATTGAAAGGACTGAGTTTCTACAGTCTAAAGAAGATAAGATTAAGGTGTACCGGGTATTAGGAATTGTAAAACGCTGAGGCAGAAAGAAATCTTCTAGTGAGGAAGTAGCAATCTTGAATTTCAGAGAGGGAAATTTAGGCCAGGTGCTAGGAAAAGGTTTTGAATAGTAAGAACAGAGAAGTACTGAAACATAACTCGTGGGGGCTTATGGAATCTCCATTACGAAAGGTTTTTAAAAATAGATGAGGCAAACTGTGAAAACTGGCTAAACTAGAACTGATCCTGCCTCTAGGTAATAGGGTGATAATAGGGATCATCCAGCTAGTCCATCCTCCCAGCTCTATTTTCTATTACCTTTCTTTTTTAATCAAGTGCACATCCCAAGGCTCCAATTACATGCATTTTCACACTTTACCCTCATGTTTAGCTTTTCGGAGGAAGCAATTGCCCGTGTTGATGACTAGACTTTCCACTAGTTTTACCAAGGCATCCTCAGAAGAATCCAGATATTGGGTTTATGTGGGAAGGCAAGCATCAGATTTCATAGATGATTGGTAAAAATTGGAATTTTGGAATACCAGAATTAACAGTACTGAATGGTGTTTAGTCATTCCATTGCATTCAAATAAACCCCTCATTTAGAAAGGTCTTCTGGCTATCTTATTCTTTTAATTAATTAAATTATTTGCGGCATAGTCTAAAATTTTTGGAGTCTCTGAGGGAAAAAGCAGTTCTAACATCTGGGTTTCCCCAGTTGGATCCCCAGTAGGATCCAGTAAGTAACAGTCAGTTTTATTATTTATTATGCGTCGTTCATTGTGCCATCTCTTTTCATGACTGACTCTGAAGTGATTTGTATGCTCTTGTAGAAGGTAGAGCCCTATTGTCTGTCAATGTACACTTGCTTGGATTTCTCATTTTATTTGCAAAAATAATAAAAATTACGCATCTTATAGTTCTTGGTCAAAAAGTTCCATTATCCTCTTCTGGAACATGGTCTTATATGAAGAAAAGCATACCAAGCACAGCTATTCTATTATTATTTAAATCATTCCTCTGTATTATTGGTTTTGAATATTTATTAGGTTTTTTGATAACCTCTTTCATTATTCATAAAGGGTAGCCCCAGAGTTTGATGAAAAAAGCAGTACAATGAAACCTTATTTTGCATAGCTGGCATCTTTCATACAAACTGTTTTCCAGTGCCTTTTTTTTTTTCTTTTTTTTTTTTTTTTTTTTTTAATGAAAGCCTGCAAGGTGCTGGGAACCTCCGTCATGTTCCTTGCAGCATCCCCTCCTTACTGGTTTCAGTGGGAGGGGAAACCAGCCAGCACCTAGCCAGCCTATATGCTCCACCATGGTTAGGGATGAAATAATAAATATCCCCCAAGAGAGGTGGAAATGAAGAGGAAAAGGTCAAGAAAAAAGATGTCTTTTCACATAAGATATGAAAAACATATGAAGAATTACTGGGGTAGAGAAAAAGACAATGGAAGGTTGTTTTAGGTGATTTATGGGATTTTCTTTTGAAGCCCACAAGAATCCAAAGAAATTAAGGGCAGTCGCTGTACTGACTGCAGTATCTGTGTGCATGTCAAGTGTCTGACAGGAGTCAGCATCCAGTGCTTCACAGGACACATAAAACCCCACAGTAAGCAGATTGGGGAAGGATTATTTTCTTGTACTAGGTCTCATCCTCATCTCTAATATGTGTAGGTTTGCTTAAACTCTGAGGTATAAGGTTTAGTGTCTATTCTGAAAGGTTTCTCGTCACGATAGGTATGCATTGGTCTTAGCATTCTTGTTATCAATATACCTACAAAGACTTTTAAAATATATTGGTAGATATTTGGTCTCAACAGCATTTTGCATCAGTGATCTCTTAGTCTGATAATACAGCTTTTGTGTAGGTGGGTGTTTCTGTTTATTGCTTTTGAATTTGACATGTTCTATCTTTATTGACTATCCCGTATTTCTTGCTTTATATTTTGGACACGCGGCTCGCTCTCCTCAACTTGCATTACTGTGATGACTACTAAAATTTAGAATATCTTTTGACCAACTGCCTTGTTTTTATTAAATCCTCCCCCTGACCTCTGCCAGACTGCGTAGTGAATTGGGCATTTTAATGTATCTGACTTGTTGTTTAATTGCACCAGTCTCGTGTGTGATACACGTCCTTTGCCAAGACAGCCTGCTTAAAATCTGAAATACTAAATAGGCCTCAGGAAAGATCAATTTTTGTGTTAATATTGTGGATCAGTGTGAAGCTTGCTTGACTCTGAAGAGCCTGGATTTTAAAAAACATGATAGTCCAGTGTAGGATTATTGACCAATTTCTTTTTTTGTTTCCAGCTGAGCTGCCAGGATCATCTGCAATCAAGCTCTCCTCCTTGCGTGATCTTCCAGCTCAGCTGCAAGAATTGTACCAGCAGGGCTTTGTCTTGGCTGCTGTCCACCCTTTCGTGCAACCAACTGATGAAAAAGAGAAAACTCCCCAGGAACAAATCTTCAGGGCTGTGCTTATCAAGAAAACAGAAAGGTAAGGCACTTCCACTGAACTGGGATAAAAATAGACAATGTGATTTCCTGCTG